GTAACCTGTTTTCTTATTTTAGGTTCATCATTACTTGTTTAAAGTGTAAATTATGTTACGTGACCTGTTGTTCTTCTTTTTAGGTTCATCATTACTTGTTTAAAGTGTAAATTATGTTATGTAACCTGTTGTTCTTATTTTTAGGTTCATCATTACTTGTTTAAAGTGTAAATTATGTTATGTAACCTGTTGTTCTTATTTTTAGGTTCATCATTACTTGTTTAAAGTGTAAATTATGTTATGTAACCTGTTGTTCTTATTTTTAGGTTCATCATTACTTGTTTAAAGTGTAAATTATGTTATGTAAACTGTTGTTCTTATTTTTAGGTTCATCATTACTTGTTTAAAGTGTAAATTATGTTACGTGACCTGTTGTTCTTCTTTTTAGGTTCATCATTACTTGTTTAAAGTGAAAATTATGTTATGTAAACTGTTGTTCTTATTTTTAGGTTCACTATCTAATATGTCTGTCAGCTAACTATGCCTACGTCAAGGACAATGGAAAGTTCCGGGACTTACGAGAATTACAATACCTGCAGGAATCAGAGCTTGGCACCCTGCCAAAGGATAGATTTTAGGACATAAGCCAAGAAATTTTTAGAGGAGGACATCATTACAGGAATCGTAAATAACAACACATTTCAATCTATTTCACAGGAATCATAAATAACAACACATTTCAAAACTATTTCACAGGAATCGTAAATAACAACACATTTCAAAACTCTATTTCACAGGAATCGTGAATAAATTTTAAAAACCTATTTCACAGGAATCATAAATAACACATTTTAAAAATCTATTTCACAGGAATCGTAAATAATAACACATTTTAAAAATCTATTTCACAGGAATCGTAAATAACAACACATTTTAAAACCTATTTCACAGGAATCGTAAATAACACATTTCAAAACTATTTCACAGGAATCGTAAATAACAACACATTTTAAAAACTCAATTTCACAGGAATCGTAAAATAACAACACATTTTAAAAACCTATTTCACAGGAATCGTAAATAACAACACGTTTTAAAAATCTATTTCAAATAAAGACAGCACTTGTAAATCCCATTTTTCTCTTATGAATAATTCAGATTTTACTCATTTACTAAACAAACGTAATATTTGTTATTAACAAATATATATTCCAGTGGTTTACTATGGTCAATTTCCTGTAGTACTTTCTTCTCCAAAAATTTCTTGGCGAGACCAAATAATGTAAAGCTGCTGGACGGTCCCTCTTCATTGGTTGAATCTGTACTGATAATGTTAAGTGCTTCTAATAAGGCTAAAGTCTTTGAAAAAAAGCATGAGAATGTTTTAACGTTTAGAATGAGGTGGTACTGTGTGGCAGTTTTGACATTTTTTTTTTTATGTGTATATGTATCCAGTTTTTTCTGTGTACATATCCTTTTTTTTCTGTGTATGTCTTTGGATATATCCTGTTTTTTCTATGTCTTTATGTATACCTTGTTCTATGTCTGTTTATTGAACCTGTTTTCCCCTACATATGTCTGTTATACTCAGCTTGTCTCTCTACACATGTATTACACCCAGCTTTCCCCACATATGTGTATTATACCCTGCTTTAACTTGTCTGTGTATAAAAGACTCTTTTTCTTATACATATTCCCAGTGGTTTAATGCTTAATTTTATAGTGTTGGAGCCTTGCCAAAATTTGTCAGGTGTGTGATATCAACGTCAGAGTAAAGATCTCGTATTTAAAGCCTAACTTACATTTTTATATAAGGATAATATATTCAGCACTAATTATTTAAGTCTGTTTACATTAGTAATATATTTAATAACACAACTCAACTTCGTTTAAAGAAAACAACAACTGGGTACCATATTTACAATACTCATAGTCTCCTTCAACTTCAGTTTTAGTAATAATTGTCTGCAAACAGTATTAACAACTTTGACTTTTATAATACTTTCACACCTCTTATCCTGCTAACACGATTAAAAAAAAAAGCAATCATTATTGTGTAATATGTATAAGCATTTAAAAAAAAGTGTTCAATTTAAACAAACAATGTAATTATAAAATGTATTTTATTAAGTGTTGTAATATCATATCCATGTGTTTAAAGACCATGTGATGTATGAGAAAAACATTTCACCATTTTAACATTCTGCCATGTACTCTTGAGCTGGAGCAGTCATACGGTGCCTGATGCCAGCTCCTGGGGAAAAGTGACAGAGTGTGAGGAGGATCACAAACAGTCAGATTATTTCCCTGACACTCTGTGAGTTTGGTTTTGAAAGACAATTAATTTGAGTCTAAATTGAATAACATATTGTTAGTTTCAGAAATATCAAAATTGGCCCTAAGTTCAGGTGCCAGAGTGGAACTCCAGTTATACTAAAACTTCTGCATATACCTGAGTGCATATCGTTTTTCTTTTGCCTATGCCTGTGTGCATGTAACTTCTCTCCTGTATATGCCTGTTTGTGTAACCTGTTTTTTCTACATATGTATGTGTATATAACTTTTTAAACATATACTTGTTTATATAACCTAATTGTTTTCACATATATCTGTTTGCATAACCTGTTTTTACTTTCAAACCTTGTAAAAAATATGTTTCTCTATAGAGTCGCAGCTGCTTTTACCCAATAACCTAAATGTTTCTCTGCAGCATGAGTGACAATCAACACTGTTAACGCTGTACGCACAGTTCAGCATTTTAATGTGCCTTATAAGTTCTGATTGAATATTTTCATTAAATTGTGTTAATTGTTAACATTATAAAACTTGGGATCAGGATCTAACATTACGACTGTTTTGTATGGTTGAATTATGTCTTTCAAGTTGTATTAATGGAGTTATTTTATGAGACATTTTTGTTTTTGAGCTATTATTTGTACATGTTAACTTCAGTTTCTCAAATATCG